TCAAAACATAGCCATAAAATATTTCACCAACACAATATCTCATTTCCAAGCATTCCACAATTTTTCATAACTCTTTTAAAACACAAAAACATTCAAATCTCAACAAGAAATATCATCAAGTCACAAACCAATATTCATCATTTATATAGAAAGCAACAAATAATCACATGCTTGGTCCCATTTTCTATATACGAAAATAGATAAATAAGCCTTTTTATCCATTTAAAAAAATTTCTTACACATATATTTTTCAAACAAATGGAGTGTGTGAAGTTTGACTTACCTGTCTCCAACTAAAACACGGCCTTTCACCAACTAATACGGCCTTTCCCCCAAGTACTTAGATGCCTAAAACAAGCATTTATATAATATATTAACATCTAATTCAAGTATTAGAAGCTATTAAGCAACAAAAGTACTCTAACTAGCTAAATATTCTAGATCCATATAACTTCACAACTAGATTAGCTCAACTATACTTAAAAATTCATAACTTTTACTACACAATTCCAAATCAAGATCCGTAAAATGATTTAGAAACTAGACTCCAAGAGCTCTCCAATGATATAAGAATCATCATATAACCCATGAGAGATAATATATAGTGAATTTCCAAAATTACCCTTGGTTCCAACTATTTAGCTCAACTTCTCCAAGTTAATCATTAACTTCAATAGCTCATTTTCAATATCCGATTAGCAATTAATCAAGTAGAGATCACAATTTTCAAAACCATGTATGTATTCCATAGCAATTTCCACAAACCCAAACCAATAAAAATATATATTCACTAAATCCATCAAGATGCAAGCCTTTTTAACACCTTAAATTTCTCTTTAACCTTTAATCCATGCTTTCAATAATAGACCCACTAGTTTCCAAGTAAAATAAGAGTTTAATCTCACCTTAAAATTAGTTTGATGCTTGCTCTTGATTTGTCAAATAGCCAAAAACCCACGGCTTGATGCTCCACTTTAATCAATTCTTCTCCTTTCTTTCCTTAACTTGAATCGGTGTTTCTTCCCCAATTGGAAATGAAAACCACATTATTAGAGTTAGGAAGAGATGTTTATGTTGTTGATATTTTTGCTACCAAATTTTTTGTTTATCATTATCTCTTATTTCTCTTATTTATACTTCTCTTCTCCACCGTTTGCTTATGTCGGTTTAGGTTCATCCTAATGATATTTATTCATTTTATGGTAAAATTGGTGATAAGCCCCTATACATTTCATATTTGTTCAAGAAGATCCATAATTATGGAATCTTTCAATTAAATCCTCCCTCATAAAACAAAACTCAAATATATTTCCAAATCAAAATACTTGGTTATTACACTCTCCTCACCTTATATAAGTTTTGGCCTCGAAACTTACCTAGTCCTCGTCTGCAAATAAGTAAGGGTACTCCTTCCTCATGTCTTCCTCCATTTCCCATGTTGCTTCCCTTGGTGTATGATTACTCCATTGCACTTTCACGAACGGAATTGTTCTTCGTCTCAAAACTTGTTCCTTTCGATCAACTATCCGGATGGGATGTTCCGGATAAGTCAAATCCTCACGAACTTCCAATGGTTCATAGTCCACCACGTGGCTTGGGTCAGGAACATATTTCCTTAACATAGATACGTGAAACACATTGTGCACGCTGGATAGTTGTGGGGGCAAAGCTATCCGATATGCAACTTCTCCGATCTTGTCAAGGATCTCAAACGGTCCTACATAACGTGGACTTAACTTTCCTCGTTCCCCAAACCTCATAACTCCCTTGGTGGGTGACACCTTTAGGAAAACAAAGTCACCTTACTGGAATTGTAAATCTCTTCTCTTTATGTCGGCCCAACTCTTTTGACGATCTTGTGCAACTTTAAGTCTTTCCCTAATCACCTTAATTTTGTCCACAGTCATTTGCACAACTTCCGGTCCCAATAACTTCTTTTCTCCAATATCGTCCCAATATAAAGGAGATCTACATTTCCTTCCATATAACGCTTCAAAAGGAGCCATTCCAATGCTCGACTGATAACTATTATTGTTGGCAAATTCCGCCAATGGCAAATGATCATCCCAACTACCTTTCAAATCAATCACACAAGCTCGTAGCAGATCCTCCAAGATTTGATTTGTCCTCTCCGTTTGGCCATCTGTTTAAGGATGGAAGACAGTACTGAATTTCAAATCTGTCCCCATAGCACGTTGTAGGCTTGCCCAAAATTTAGAAACAAATCTAGAATCTCTATCTGACACAATACTCACCGGAACTCCATGCAATCGTACAATCTCATCTACATACATCTGTGCCAGCTTGTCAAGTGGAGTGGTTGACTTGATAGGTAAAAAGTGAGCCGACTTTGTGAGTCTATCAACAATCACCCATATCACATTATTTCCTTTGGTCGATCTAGGTAACCCCATTACAAAGTCCATAGAGATATGCTCCCACTTCCACTCCGGTATCTCCAATGGTTGTAACAATCCCGATGGCCTTTGATGTTCAGCTTTAACTTGCTGACACACCAAGCATTGAGACACAAATTGGGCAATTTCCCGCTTCATGTTATTCCACCAAAAATTCTCCTTCAAATCTTTATACATTTTAGTGCCTCCAGGATGTATGGTGAAACGAGATCCATGAGCTTCCTCCAATATCTCCCGTTTGAGCACGAAATCATTTGGTACACACAATCGACTCCCAAATTGCAACGTGCCGTCAATATGGATATTAAAATCCGTCTTCAATCCATTTTCTACATCCTCCTTAATTCTGCACAACTCAAGATCATCCTTTTGTGCAACTTTTATCCTCTCAATTAAGGATGGTTGTACCACAAGACTAGCCAATAATACACCTTCACCTTGCATTACCACCTCAATTTGCTCTCCGTCAAGTTCTTCCAACAATCTCCGTTGAGTGGTAATCAAAGCAGCCATACTCCCAGTTGATTTTCTACTAAGAGCATCAACAACTACGTTAGCTTTACCCGGATGATAGTTGATACTTAAATCATAATCCTTGATTAACTCCAACCACCTCCTTTGCCTCATATTCAACTCTTTTTGTGTGAACAAGTATTTTAAACTCTTGTGATCTGTGTAGATCTCACAAGATTCTCCATATAAGTAATGTCGCCAAATTTTTAAGGCGAAAACGACCGCAGCCAACTCCAAGTCATGAGTGGGATAATTCTGTTCATAGGGTTTTAATTGCCTAGAGGCATAAGCAATCACCCTTCCATCCTGCATCAACACACATCCCAATCCTTTCCTTGAAGCATCACTATAAATAGTGAATTTTCCGCCATCAGTCGGCAAAGTAAGAACTGGTGCAGACACCAACCGATTCTTCAACTCTTGGAAACTTTGTTCACATTCCTCTGTCCAATCAAAATTTGCTCGCTTTTGAGTTAAACGAGTCAAAGGGACAGCAATTCGGGAGAATCCCTCCACAAACCTTCTGTAGTAACCAGCCAAACCCATAAAGCTTCTAACTTCAGTGACATTCGTAGGTCGAGGCCAATTCACTACTGCTTCAATCTTCTTCGGATCAACCGATATTCCATCTTTAGAAATAACATGACCGAGGAATGCCACGCTTCTCATCCAAAATTCACATTTGCTGAACTTGGCAAAAAGTTGTTTATCACGCAAGGTCTGAAGCACGATTCTCAAATGGTTCTCATGCTCTTCATCACTTTTGGAATAAATCAGAATGTCGTCGATGAAAACAACAACAAACTGATCTAAATATTGCTTAAAGATGCGATTCATCAAATCCATAAATGCTGCAGGGGCATTGGTCAGTCCAAAAGGCATAACTAAAAACTCATAATGAGCGTACCTTGTGCGGAAAGTAGTCTTAGGTACGTCATCTGCCTTAATCTTCAATTGATGATACCCAGACCGCAAGTCAATCTTTGAAAAGACTTGTGAACCTTGCAACTGATCAAAGAGATCATCTATCCGAGGAAGAGGATACTTGTTCTTCACTGTAACCTTATTCAACTCCCGGTAATCAATACATAAGCGTAGACTCCCATCTTTATTTTTAACAAATAATACTGGGGCTCCCCAAGGTGATACACTAGGATGTATGAACTTTTTGTCCAACAGCTCTTGGAGTTGCTCCTTGAGTTCACGCAACTCAGATGGGGCCATTCGATAAGGAGCTTTAGATATTGGAGTAGTCCCAGGGACAAGATCAATCTCAAACTCAATTTCCCGGTCTGGAGGTAGACCAGGTAGGTCTTCGGGAAAAACATCAGGAAAATCTTTAACAATGGGAATGTCCTCCAAACGTACACTTTCATCGATCTGAGTGTCCTTCACATAAGCAAGAAAGCCGTGACAACCTTTCTTCAATGATTGCATGGCGTTCAAGAATGACACCACTTGAATTGGGTTGTTTACACGACCACCATTAAACACAAGCTCAGGCTGTCCTGGTCGTCGAAAGATCACTCTCTTTCCATGGCAATCAATAAATGCATGATTATCCGATAACCAATTTATCCCCAAAATAACATCAAAATCTTTCATCCTCAATTGCACCAAGTCCGCTACTAAATCACAACCCTTTATGTGAACAACACAATTCTTATGGACTAAGTCAGCATACATAGTTTTCCTAACGGGAGTAGCAACAAACAAAGGTTCATCTAACTTCTCAGGAACACAATTCAAGGATGCAGCAAACTCAACAGATACAAAGCAATGAGAGGCACCAGAATCAAATAGCACGCAAGCATTGACATTATTGATAGGAATAGTACCTGTCACCACATCCTCATTTGTACATGCATCTTGTCGAGTCATGGCGAAAACTCGAGCATTGCTCTTCTGTGATGACTCCATTGGTTTAGACTTGGCAGCTTCATTCTTCTTATTAGGGCAATCCCTAGCAATGTGTCCATATATCCCACACTCATAGCATACGCCCCATTTCTTGTAGCACTCCCCAGAATGGAATCGATCACAAGTCTTACATTTTTCTCTCCATTTCTTGTCTCCAGCACTCTTAGCGTTCTGTTGCCGGTTGTTGTGTCCTCCGTCAAACCTTGGTCGCTTTCTTTGACCCATCTCCCGCTCATACCTCTTCAAGTCTGTTTCGATTTTAATAGCTCTCTGCAATGCATCTTGATAACTCTCAATGATATGGGAAGACAAACGAGAGCGGATGCTTGGCAATAGTCCATGCTCAAATCTCGTGGCTTTGTTTTCATCCGTATCGATGATAGGAGGACAGAAACGTCCCAACTCATTAAATTTGTTGGCATAGTCCAAAACAGACATACCTGGCTTTTGTTGCAGTTGTAAGAATTCATTCTCCTTCACCTTTCTCACCGACTTTGGGAAATATTGCTCAAAAAATATTTCCTTGAATTTAATCCATGTCAAGGGCTCATCCGAACTCTCATAAGCGGGTTTTGTAGTATCCCACCAATATTCCGCATTCCCCTTCAGCTGGGTAATGGCCAAGTCTACCCTCGACTCATTCGGAATGCGCATAGCCTTAAACACTTTCTCTAATTCTTTCACCCAAGTTTCGGCAACTAAGGCATCAGCACCACCCTCGAACTGCGGAGGATTAACCTTGCGGAATCGCTCATAAGTAGAGTGTCAGGTAGATGCGCAACCGTTTGTGCCTGTTGTTGTTGCTGCGCCTGTTGTTGTTGCAGTAGTTGTTGCTGTTGTTGTAATAAGTTAGCTACCACCTGACTTATACCGACTACATCCGCTTGTGTTACCGGTGCGTTGGTCCTATTCTCGTTAGAATCTTGTTCCAAACGATTGTTGCTAGTTTCCGAAGCATTCTTTTTCTTAACGTTTCTCCTTTTCCTCCCAACAAGGTTCGCCAACGTTTCCTCCCTTCCGCTCATTCTCGCCTGTCTTTATTGACAACGAAAATAAACGCATAAGAAACAAATATTAAGTAATCAAATCTTATCGAATCAAAGATTGTCGAGCAAACTAGTTCCTACAACTAGCCTTAAACCAAGCGAATCTAAGTAACTCACACTATTCCCTAGGGTCTTAAGAGTTAATCCTAACTCATAGATTCCTAAATTTCACAATTTACGGGTCCCAAAACTAATGCTCTGATACCAATTAATCTGTCACGCCCCGAGACCGGAACATGCCAAGACGGCCATAACTACCTTGGAGCAGTGTAAAAACATTCCAATACAA